CAGGGAAGAATTTGTTCCCAATATCCAAGCTAACCCTGCCTTCTGTTCCTTTGAAGCCATTTCCCCTTATCCTGTTACTCCATGCCTTTGTCCCAAGTCCCTCTCCAGCTCTCTTGGAGATTCTTTGGGAGTCCTCTTGGAGACTGGAAGGGGCTTTAAGGTCTCCCTAAAGCCTTCTTTCCTCCAGGCTGAACAACCTGTCTCCATAGCAGAGATACTCCAGCCCTCAGAGCATCTTTGTAGCCTTCTCTGAACTCTCCTCCTTCTCACCCTTCTTCCAGCCTCCCCAGCTCATAAATCATTCTCACCATGGAGCTGGGACAGCTTTCCCTCCTGCATCCATTGCTGCAGGTCTCTACCCTCCTTCCTTCCCATCTCAGATTTATGGTTCTCCTCAGCAGAGGAGAAGGCAGGAGAATAAGATCTGGTCCTTCAGATTGCCCTGGGTAGGACTTGGGAGGTGAGGATCAGGGATGTGAATTACCAACTGATTCTGCAAAGTACAGCAATGAAGCTGTGCTGCCACAGAGATTCACACAGAAACACAGGGTGAAGCCATGAATGCACAATCAGGGCTGCAGCTCAGGATGTGTCCAAAGGAGATTCTCCTGTTGAAGGAAGGAGAAATTTGCTTATGCATAAATACCCACAAAAATAGCTGAGGGGAAGCACAGGGAAATGAGTGGGAAAGCAAAGTGGAGTTTTTCTGGCAGAGCCTGCTTTGCTGCCAGTCTGAGAGCCTCTCTTCTGAGCAGATAGCAAAAGCTGCACCCACACCAGCTGCCTCTGGAGATCCTTTTCATTTTAAAAAAGAGGCTTTAATTATGGACAGCAGCCACCTTCACTATAAAGCATTGCAGGATGAGAGGCATCCTGCTCTGGGTACACATTGTCCTACCCAACAATGATATCCCAAAGTACCCAGGGAGAGATCAGAAACCAGTGACAACTCTTTAAGGAGTTAACAAATCTTCCTTTGGGGAAAAAAATATTTTAAACCCCAGAAACAAACACATATTTATAGTCTCACTTCTCATGAAAACACCTTGGAAAAACAGACACGGCAACTGCTCAGCATCAGAGAGTGTGTTCATCAGGGCAAGCCCCAAGCTGTGGAGCAGGGAGTACCTCAAGGAGCCAACACAACTTTGCTTTTTTCTGCAGTAGGGGTTCATTCCACCTGCTAAAGTTGTCTTCAGCCCTGGGGTCAGGTCTTGCAGGAGATGGATGGGGGAGGCAGAGGCATTTGAAGCAGGAGAAAGACTTCATGGCTCCTATGGGTAGTGAGCATGAGGAGGAGGATTTCAACTAAATACCCAAATCAACTAACCCCTATCTGAACTGCAGCTCAGTAAAGGGTAACTCAGCACCTCCCCAGGTGAGCTATTCCCATGGCATAAAACCATAGTGCACAGAATACCCAGAGTTGGAAGGGATCATTGATTCCAACGCCTGGCCCAAAATCCCACACCTACCTGAGAGTATTGCCCACCCAAACTTCAGTGAAAATGTAAATTCTTCTCCTTACATC